ATTACAAAAAATATTTATTTCTTAAAGGTCTTATATTCACTAAATATTCTGTTGTGTGTCTGTAATAATTTTAAACAGGTTGTAGCATCTTTCCAATTGCTGCTATTATTGGTAAGCAAGTTTTTCACTCGTAAAAGTCCGAAGACAAAATAGATGCGAATAAAAACGTCTTTATTTTTTCAATTAACAGAATTCCTTCATTAATATTCCTTCATCTTTATTGCATATTACTCTCTTGTCTGTCTGTATGTTACGTTACCTTACGGTCAAAAACTGTGTGCTTCCTACCAAGCTCTCTTATATAGCATATATATATATATATATATATATATATATATATATATATATATATATATAGCCACGGTTATATAGCATGGTATTGACACCTTGTGGCCAAATGCCACTATACAATGTATGGCTCCAACACACGTCTTAATTTTGCTTTATCCAAGTACAGCTCCTCAATCGGACCAACAATCATTTAATGACCAACAGTTAAATCTCAATAAAACCTTTTTTTTTTTTTAATAAATACTTTTTTGCAAAGAGAGACAATTGACAACGGCTGTTAGACATTTTTCCCTAATCAGGGAAAGAAAATGGAAAACAATTACACAATTCCTCATGGTAATACCGAGCCATAAGAAAAAGTCGTTAACCCTGTATAATTCTAAAAATGTCATTCTTAATGGTCTTAAAAGTCTAAAATTTGACTTGAGGAAACCTGCAGAAACCCTGATACTCTTTCTGCTGTCCTCAGGCTTCAGAAGGGTTGCGGTGCTGGATGTAACAGTGGAGGTAACATTGAAGATTCAGATTGTGGAGGTGGCTCAACCTCCATCAGTAACAACCCTGCAGTTCATCCTCCCCAGAGCACAACGTCCGGCATCCCTCAGTCACATCCCACTACTGTACAGCCCTCAATGGGTAAGAATACTGCTGTTAATACATCACATCCTGCCTACAATCAAAACAGCAATGATCTGTGCAGGCTGTAAATATCAATTTTAACTACTTTTCTCAAGGCACCGACAACCCCGTTGGACCTACCTGGCCGCTGCATCCCCAGCCTCTCCCACTTGCCCTGCTCAGCCAATCAGAGGGCAGGATGGATGCGGGACTGGTTAGCTCTTTGCATCGCACCTCTTCCATCCATGGGCTTTTAGGGCAACATCTGTCTAGTTCTCAGCTTTCTTTCAGTGGTTCGGTGGCCCTGCCGCCTGCAGACCGCTTCTGCCCCAGCAGCCTGCAGGACAATCCTGGTCACAGAGCGTCTCAGAGGGGCCTTAGCCTGGGTCAGGGCAGCGGGCTGCCCTATGAGACTGTGTACAGCAAATGGAGTCTGTCAGGAAGGAAGGGATTCAACGGACCTGCTGTAATGGAAGGGGATGGCTCAGCATCACAGAGCATACGCACACAGGTTAGAACATATGCTTGCACCACTGATTTTGCCCAGGTCTATTCATGCCTTTTTAAACTATACATAAAATATGCATGTGAAAGATTATAGAACCTTTGGTACTCCCTTTTCATTAGCATGACCTGAGTTCTATAACGATAAAACTGTGTTCATTCATCATGCTGTAGTTTGTTAGAGTATTCGTATCTGTCATTTTTAAGCCTTATAAATTCACTGAAATATTGTGCTGAAGGTTAGGGTTATGCTTTAAATAGGTCTTCATTTTCGGGTGTCCATGTAAAACTACCTAATCAGGCCAACACCAATCCAATCACCAACAGTCCATTTATGAAAAATCCCTAGCATTTAGTTCTGTAAATGTCAGATTTTATTTTCATATTTGTCTTAAAATCTTAAATTTGATTTTGGTTTATGTAGACAAAGATTACTAGTGATGATAATAATGTGTTCAGCTTTGTGTTCTGCTGTCATATATAACGAAGGGGCTCAAAATAGTTTCTGATCATCTTTTTGGTCACAGTAATCCCTCAATTAGCCCCTGATGCAGTGGTTTTTACTTCTGCTTCTAGCCATGCAATGTTTTGGTGCTACTAAATAAACAACTTTTCCTGGTTTCCAAAGCTGAATAAACCATGTGAAAACCAATTACAGAATGTTGGAATTATGAAGCAACCTTGCCAATTTTTTTTTTTTTTGCCAGTGACAGGGCTCGAAATGAACCTTTTTGCTTGGCAGCACTGGTGCTCCTAACTTTAAAAATTTAGGTGCATCAGCCAAAATTTAGTCGCACTTATAAGCACCGTTACTACAAGTTTTATACAAACATATTTATTGCATTTGAAATCAACACTAATCAAACTAACAAGCAAAAAAATATAAATATGCAAGCGTGAGGAAATTATGTCTCAACAAAGTCCCGTTATCACAAGAAAATAGATTTTTATAACATAACTGAGTGACTGAAGGATACACGGACCGCTCACCCGTCTTGCTCGCACTGCTTGTCATGAATGAATCTGTTAACGATATAACTGTGCTGTTCTCACGGATGCTGTCTGATATTGCACTTTACTTTTGACATATACTGGACCTTATTATATGCATACGTCATGTTGATAACAATACCGGTCTTTTAATGAGTAGTGATATTAGTTACTCAGTGCAAGCCCGTTTGCGATGGTGTATGTGGTGTTAAATTTTACATATAGCTGCCACTTGCACGGCAGACAGCATCTGGCGATTATATAAAGGATTAAACAGAAGCTCTCCTGCTAGATGTGGCAAACATTTACCTGAAAATTCCATCCCACAGACTTTTCATAGCAGACTTGAAGCCAATGGAAGTCTTTTATCCACTCTTCGAAAAGTGTAGATGGTGGTGGATTACAGATGCACTCTGATTGAACGTCTCCCGAATCCGCGCATTTTACAGTAAAAACTGGTCGCACACAACATTTTTGTGCACTCGCACAAATGCTCCCAAACTTAGTTTGAGGTCACAGATGAAATTTCAGGCACATATGCGACCAAAATTGTCGCAATTTCGAGCCCTGCAGTGATGTTCCTTAAAGTATTAAATTATCAGAGGCATTAAAAAAAGTCTTGTTAAAGCTTCATAAACTGAACCAAGCCAATCAGGTATAAGGAGAATCACATTACAAACTCTAAGTCTTAATCGTGTTTTTACGAGGTTTTAAATTTTGTTTAATCATTGTCCAAAGAGTTTGACTCAAAGCATAAATATATTTATTTTCCTCCTAATATTGACAACGACATGCTTGATCCATGTGATTGGTTCAGTCTGGGCGCATCCGGCCAATCTCCTTCCTCCAGGTGATGTCACGTAATTTGCGACAAATGCGAGAAGGTGATATAACCCTCTCCACATGTAGTGCAACCATAGAGGAAAACAGATGGCAAAATGGAAAATTTAAGTTTGCATACTCCTGGTTGGAGAAAGATAAATTTAAACAGTGGCTGATGCATGTCGCTGAAAAAAACATGCAATTTATTCCTTTAAACTTTGTTTCTTCCAAGCTTATCTGAGTTTTACTGCATTGTTGTGCTTCAATTATTTATTTAACTACAGCTGTTTATTAACAACTCTTTATGAAGTTAAAGATTTGATACTAATTTGAACTTGAAGTGTCGATGAGGTCTTAAAATATTCTTTTTAAAAAGATCTTTAAAAAGCCTTGAAAAGGTATTAAAATTATCTTTAGGATTCCTGCATAAGGGTGTGTTCAATAAAAGCATATATAAATTATTAACAACTTCAGATCACACAAAAGGTCTGTAATTATAGGTTTATCAGTTATTATTACCGTATTTTACTCAGCCTTGGTGAATATTTATGTTGAGACCTTTTTTGAAACATCACCCCAAAATTTTTATGGATTGTGTGTGATTATATATGAAATAATAATTCATATTTTCCCATTTCCTAGCCTTCGCAGCCTCCTCTCCCTGTCCTACCCTCTGATGTCAGCCCAACACTGGATCCAGTGGGAGCAGTCGTACCCTCTGAGACCACACCCCTTACATCATCAGACCCACCCAGTGCACGGGAGGAGTCTACAGAGCTGCCTTTACTTGAGCACCTCCGCTGAGCCGGCACAGCACCAGGACAGCTGACCACCCCATCAACATCATCATCATCATCATCCATCAGAGCAATTCAAGCTGACCTCCTCAATACTTTGAATGATAAAAGCATCATCACTCAATTCTACGTATATTAGGATGCATCTCGCTAATATAAACACATCAGCAGATACTGAAGCACACTAGACAGGAGCGCAGCGTAAGTAATGAACTCTAAACTGAGCTCTCCTAAGCTTCTTTGGCTTCTGTTTTGGCCTCCAGGCCTTTAAGCCAAAAAAAAAACTAAATAAGGCCAGTCAGTGCAATCTTAAGGGATTTTCTTTAGTCTTTTTTTCTTACATAAGGAGGGTCAGGTCACTAAATCAAAGCAAGTCTGTGATCTGAACCACCAGCAGAAACAAAAAGGGAACTCTCCTGTCCTGTCCTTTGTAGCAGCCTTAAACCTTACTCAAGCTTTCCTTTTTTATCCCCCACGCATCAAGCTAGACAACCACAAGTCGTGGATTGTGCAGGATTTCTTTCAGATCAAATCCACCACATCAGCCACAGTCCTTGATTTTGATAGCTCCAAACACATTCCAGAAATACATCCGATTTCATATGCAGGCCCTTAAACGACACAACCACGGCTTTTCTTCAGCAAGCTTCAGGGATACGATTCGAATAAACATACATGTACTCGCTCACATGCACACCTGGTGCTCCATACATAGTTTACAGCCGGCTCAGGTGAGGACGGAAGTTTTGAAAGTGTAGGACTGCTTGGGGAAAGAGAACTCAAGTAGTCTCTATTTTTATTTTCTCTTTGTTTCTCTTCATACATCCCACATTAAATCAGACTACATTCTAAATTGCTCCCTATTGGATGGGTGCTGATTGTGACATCGTGGGCTGGAGGTGATTTGAGCTTCTTGGTTTCCCCTTTCAGGCCTTTTCCTGCTGCTGCAAGCACCTGCAGTTTGTCTCCCTCTACTGCAATACTACTGCTACTGCACCACCCCTCCACTACTAATAGAACTAACCAAACTACTGCTTTGACTTCTAAACTCCAGCGTTTTAGTTGGAAGAATTTGATGGGGGGGAAAAACATAGATATACCATTTCTTAAGATGAAGATGTATTGATTTGCTGATCTCAAAATGGATGAAGTGGCTGTTTTTTTTTGTTGTTTGTTGAAAAGCTGGACATGAGCGAACTGTAAACTTTGCCCCCATTCTTGAATCCTCCTGATTGTGACTAGCTGATTCCCTATCTGTATGTTATTCAACTGGAAGTTTCGATGTCATTATATATCTGCTGTTGGGCGGACAAAAGCTCAGACCTCCTGCTGTGGAAAGCAGGGCCACTTACTGCCTCTACGATAACAAACATATCAAGCACTCACAGTCAAACAATACACCACTGACATCGTCGTGTGTCAGTGTTAAGAAGCTTGAAATATCCCGTCAGCTGAAGTGCTTTTCTGATTCAGAAAGTCATTCAGTGCTTCTTCACCATACAGATTCCTAGCTTAAAATGATTGACGTGGCTGAGCTGTGCTCCAGAAGAGGCTTTGGGTTTAACGATATGGCTTGAGAGTCAATGTAAAGGCCGCCATGAGTAAATGGCACCTTGTTGAAGAAAAGGATTTTTGCTGGAGATTTTACACTGGTTTCTTGGAGATTTCATGCTGAATGATAATTGAAGGTTTTTTTCTACTGAGCGGTCCAACTATAATCATTTACAATGCTGACACACAATCAGAACAACGGAAGGCTGTTTCCGCCATGTGAATAAAAACACAGCTTATTATTCTGACTTTTTTATTTCTCAAAACTGTGAGATGGACGAATAACTCTTAGATTGCAATTCTGGCTATATATTGGACATTTTGGAACTTCTATCTTGCATTTTTGCCTTTATTTTATTTTCAGAATTGCAGCTATTTCTCACAGTAGCAGTTAGCATTCATGCAGTTCTTAATATATTTCTCGGCAAGTTAGACTTTCTTTTTTTTTTTTTCTTCAGAATTGCTACTTTGGTTCTTACAGTTGAAAGGTGCAATTCTGGCTTTGTTTTTCAAAGTTCTGAGTTTACATGTTTCCAGTATGAATTTAATAAATATTTTTGGTCAGAATTGCAACTTAGTTGCAAGGTTATAGGCTTTTCTGGCAATTCTGGCTTTTTACAGTTCAGTTTCCACCTTGCAATACTGACTTTTTTAGTTGTCACAGTTTGCAGCTAATCTTTACAGTTGTAAGGTTATAGACTTCTTTGTGTGTGTTAAGTTTATTTGCATTTCAGACTATTTTCTTTATGTTTCTTACAATAGCAAGTTAATAGGTTTTCTTACAATTCTGGCAAAAAGTCAGAAAAACATGATATTTATAACGTAAATTGCTATTTAATATTTTTTTTAATTCTGTAAATTTTTTATCAGAATTCTGAGTTTGTCATGCAATTTTGAATTTTCTTTTCTTACAATGGAGAAGCTTTTTTTTTTTTTTTTTTTTTTTTTCCCTTCAAAATTGCACATTTCCCCCCTGCGGCTTTTTGTCTTGCAGTTATGATTATTACATTTCTCACAATTTGTCTTGCAGTTCTGACTTTTCTTAGATTTGCAACTTCATCTCACAATTGCAGGGCTTTAGGCTTTCTTAATTTCTCAGTTCATACTACTTTTTTTAGAATTACAAGATATAACCTCCCCAATGCAAGAATTATGAGTTTGTTTTTTTTTTTTTTTTTGGTTCATTTTTTTTTTTCTCGTGGCGGAAACAAGCTTTCATAAGATGGGCGATCCTGCCTGATCGACATCAAATTTGTAATGAGATTACAGTCTCTAACTTTTGTTTAGTGCCAGTAGAGGCAGTTCACATCCAATTAATCAAGCTCACTTGTGCTCACTTAAACCACATTTAGATTTAGAATTCTAACACAAATATATATTCTCTCCACCATCACAGACCATATCACAAGTTGTCTGAACACTAAACTTCAAGTCACTCTGCCAATCATGCCGCTCAAATCTCTGGTGTAGTCTGCTAAACAACCTGGGCTCATTGATTCGTCATTTGCAAGGGACTTCAGTAGCTTTGGTTCAAGGCCAATCAAGCTCTTTCCCTCTTCCCATCAGGACCATTTCTCCAATCTTTAAGGTGACTTTTCCAAAGCAACAGGGAGTACTTCTCTTTACTGGGAGAAAGCACAAGTTACTGGATAGTTTTGGGTGTCAGTGATTTAAAAGGGATCTAACTAATCTCTGCCATATATGTACAGCATGTTTTGTATATAAATATATTTAAAAATATATATAAATCTATTTTATTATTATTGGATTTCTGATTATTTTTCAATGGAGGACACTACTTTGAGTCTTAGGGGGATTCACGCTTCGGTGTATATCTGTGCTCGCGGAGGGATCTGACGCTCTCCCTCGATATAGAATCATGAAGTCTGGGGAATGAATCAGTTAATACTGCTTTTGCACAACTATTGTAAAATAGTACACCATCCTGTATTGTTTTTGTTTTTCTTTTCTTTTTTATTTTAGTTATATGGGGGATTGTTTTTATTTAAACTGTTATTCAATATTCAAAGTTATGTACAGTTTTTTATGTGATTTCTTTTTCCCCTCCTATTTAAATTAAAGCTTTTTTGTGTCATTGTTTGCAAAACAGTCATTTTGTTATTGTTTAATCTTTTGTTTTTTTTTATTCCCCACTAGTACTACTTGGCTTTGTCAAGATTTATCTTCATTCAGTTAGCATTACAAGTGAGTACTTTTAGCAGTCAGCCCCTTATATGACTTTTAACTTGTACAGGGTTCATACACATTTTTACTACAAAAGTTCCAGGACTTTTCCAAGACTTTCAATTCAATTTTTATGACCTAGTGTTTCATGTAATGTCTACATACAATTGAAGTCAGAATTATTAGCCCCTCTGTTTATTTTTCCCTCAGATTCTGCTTAAAGGAAATATTTTATTCAACACATTTCTACACAGGTTTTAATAAACCATGTCTAATAACTGACTTCATTTATCTTTGCCAAGATGACAGTAAATAATATTTTACTAGATATTTTTTAAAACGCTTCTATAGCTCAGGCAAGTAATTGTATAGCGATGGTTTGTTCTGTATACTATCGATAAAAAAATTAGCTTAAAGGGGCTAATAATTTTGCTCTTAAAATGGTTCCTAAAAATGTAAATCTGCTTTTATTCTAGCCGAAATAAAACAAATAAGGCTTTCTCCAGAAGAAAAAAATATTATCAGACATACTGTGAAAATTTCCTTGCTCTGTTAAACATCATTTGGGAAATATTTAAAAAAGGAAAATAAAACCAATAGGGGCTAATAATTTTGACCTCAACTGTATAAATGTGGTAAATCATAAAAAACAGGTAAATTAATTACAGCATATTATAACACGCAATAGTTTCAATTTATTAACCCCCCCCCACCACCACCACCACCACCACCACCACTTTTTTTTTAATTCCATGTCCGTTATGAACCCTGCTTGTAAGGTAATAGGGTCTGTGCACACAGTACAGACTTTTAGTTTAAGTCAGCCAGCCCTAGGGCTTCCGGTTAATTGTAATCCCATACAAAATTGTTGCGTTTAAAATCTGATTTCAAGAAGCACAGGATTAAATTATTTTCCCGCACCATGTCTTTAAAATATGGAAATTAATTTTACTCCAGTATTTATAACAGAGTTTCTGCACTACCCTGCTGTAAATGACGGCAGGTAATTTATTTAAAGTAACTTTAACTATAAACTTTCCTTAAATACTGTTCATAAGTTTGACAGCTCTTAATCGATTTAGAAAAGCAGAGCAATTTTGTTTTTTTGTTATACAAATATTTTTTTCAGCTAAAATAGACTAAATTTCTCAATATAATTGCTCATGCTTAAGAAACAATGAATTGAGTAATTTATCCATATATGGTATTTATAAAATATTTTGTCTTGTTACACATTTATTATTCTGTAAATGTTACATTTCTGATTATGCAAAAAGCTCCTGTTTGGTCAACTTTAAAGAATTAAGTTTCATTTCTAGTGTCTATGCGTTAAGGTTATACTTTTTTAGTAGTGCTGTCAAATAATTAAATTATTTATTGAGTGAGTAGGTCACTTTTCAGACAAAGTATTTAGTAATTTTTATGTAGTACTTTACTTTTCAAATGTGATTATCAGGCACAGTGTTTTTTATTATTAATGTATTTCTTTTCAGATTTAATTTTTTTTTTTTATGGAACATCAATTACAACATTCATTTATTAATTATCCTTCCATGTTGTTGTTGACACTTCCCTCAAATAAAAACTTCCCTTCCTCAACAGCCTATAACTTCCTATTAAAAAAAACTAAAACATGAATAATAAATTAATAATAATATAAAAGAAATAAAATAAGAAAAAAAAAGAATATTAATAATAAATATGCATTCATATATTATTGTTCATTATTACTCATATATTATTGCTCAAAGAAGCCAGCATATAATCTAAAAAAGGGCATCACAACTTGTCAAGGGTCTTTAAAAAACAGTCGGCATAAGTGAAAGTCTATTTTTGTTTTTTTCCATTTTAATGCAAGTACTTTTTTAAAGTAACTTCCTTAACATTGTTCTCAGGTAAACTAAAATGTCATGTAGTGATCCAGATTTTATTGTAGTATATCATATAATACAAAAATTACTTGTGGCTAATGAAAACATAATATCCACTATACGTCCCTTTACAGAGCATAAACACATCTACTGGGGGCTATTCCAGAAAGCAGGTTATGTGACATACACGGGTAAGTTTGAGAGTAAGTAGGTGGATAACCTCAACTTTGGTTCCAAAATCGGAGGTAACTTCTGGGTATGTTAAGTAGCCATAGCAACTTACTCTCTGAAGATAACCTGCTCCGGAGCAGGTTATGTTCAGAGAGTAAGTTGCTATGTTTCAGAGTTTGTCTGTTTCAGAGAGTTTACTGAGCATTGCGTGCTCTTTTGATGAGAATATTTATGGATGTGGACACACAGATACAAGTTTTTTCGTTGTGAGAGGGTTATAAGTGCATAGTTTTTTTCATAACCAAATTCATAATGTTAATGTATTTAACAAACCTTTTTGAAATCAAATGTGACAAACCGCGGGTCTGCGCTTACCATAAAAAACAT